TTATAATTGATGACTATCTTAAGCCTTGTCAATGCACTCTTATAAGCCCTTTGCGTTTAAGGCTTCTTTTGCACAGAGGAAATAAATAGCTGTCCTATACTTGATCTACATTGTATCTTTCTAATTCCTCTCTTTTGGGGAAATAAGTCAAACCCAAATCCTAGAAGTAAGTCAAACCCAAGTTTTAAATGAGCCTCCCTGAGGCTCCAGGGTAAGGGTAGGGGCAGAGTATGAAGAGCCAGTAAGTTCAAGGGTCTAACTCCTTTCTTTAGGCTTTGGAAGGACTGAAGCTAGGCTATATGCTTAGAAGGAGGCCCATTAATGGTAAGGAAGAAGTTGAGGCCCCCAGGTCCGAAGGGCTCAGGGGCAGTTCTGTGTGTGGTTTACGTGTATCTCTGTCCCAGAGCCTACTTCATTGAATTCATGAACTGAAGACAGTACATTAAGTGTCTAGAACATAGTTTATCTCTCTCTGTCTCCTTTTTCTCCCCCTCTCCCTCTGACAAAGGAGTGGTTTGGGGGAATGGGTGTATATAGATGGCCAGGGTAGGGGAAGAGAAGAGACGGCACTAGTTGGGAAAGGGCTTGATGCCTTCCCTAACTAAGCTGCTAGGCAAAGTGCCTGTGTATTCCAGTTCCTTCTGGAGTAAACTGGAATAGGATTGGGTTATTTGTTGGGATATTAAGAAAGTTTCCCAAAAAAGGACTACCCCAACCCCTCCCCCCCAAGATGGGATCTCTTTTATCCCCCAGATTCTATCTCCACCCTCCCCACCCCAGTTCTACCCTGCTCTCATAAACACAGCCCACGCTATTGTCCAGATCGGTTTTCACAGGCTAGAAGAAATGCACGACAAAAAGAGACGAGGAACTTGGTCTTTGGGCTCCGTAGAGTCTGATACTCATGTGGGAAGAGGGGTAGAGGGAAGGGAAGGACAAGGGAAAGAATCAGGGAGAAGGGGAGGCAAAAAGCAGGGCCTGTGAGAAGAGTCTGACCCAGGTGAGAAGAGTGTTAAATGTTAAACAACCAGCTCTGGCCAGAAGAGAAAACCAGAACTTTTAAATTTAATCTGCATTATTAACATTTGCCCCATTGCTTTCTTAAGTTTAGACAATTGAAAAAACCATAAATCAAGCCCTGATTTGTTTATTGTTCAGTTGTTTTTCAGTTGTGTCTGACTCTTTGTGACCCCATTTTGGGGTTTTCTTGGCAAAGCTACTGGAGTGATTTGCCATTTCCTTCTCCAGCTAATTTTACAGATGAGGAAACTGAGGCAAGCAGGGTTAAGGGCTTGCCCAGGGTCACACAGCTATGAAGCATTGGAGGCCAGATTTGAACTCAGAAGAGTCTTCCTGAATCCGGACCTGGCACTCTGTACACTATGATGCCACCTTCCTGCCCCTGATTTGTAGCATTTGCTGACTTCTGAGATGTAAATGCTCACACTGAAAATTTAACAGTCATCTCTCGGCACTGGAGTCAGCACACCTGAAGGCTACTCTGAACAACCAGAAACAAGAAGAGTGGTGCTAAAGAAAAGAGCTCTGGAATCAGCTCTGGGATCTAGGTTCAAATCCTACCTCTGATATTACCTGTGTGACCTTGGGTATGTCACTTAACTTTCCTACGTCAGAATTTCAGTTGTAAAAATGATGGTCCCTTTCAACTCTAAATCTGTGGTCCTAGGATCTGGAGTGAGAAAACATGGGATAAAATCCCAGCTTTAAGCCTTACTTAGCCATGTGACTTTGGGGTAAATAATTGAATCCTTCTGAGCCTCATCTTTCCTGGAATGAAGGAGTTGGATTAGGTGATCTCCAAGGTCCCTTTTGTCTCTTAAAGTTTATGGCCTAGGTCTAGGATCTCCTTGTACATCCTGGGGAATACAGGAGGTGTAAGACATGGTCTTTGCCTTCAGAGAGCTTATAGAAAATCTTCATAAAAAAGCTTCTGTGCACTGATGGGAAGGGCAGCTAGGTGGCGCCATAGTGCACACAGCACCAGACTGGAGTCAGGAAGACTCATCTCCCTGAGTTCAGATCTGGCCTCAGATATTTACTAGCTTTGTGACCCTGGGCAAGTCACTTAACCCTGTTTGCCTCTGTTTCCTCATCTGTAAAATGAGCTGGAGAAGGAAATGGCAAACCACTCCAGTAGCTTTGCCAAGAAAATCCCAAATAGGATCATGAAGAGTCAGACGTGACTGAAATATGATTGAACAACAACTGACGGAAATTTAAACATGGATCTCTCGTGAGAATTGTCCCAGAAGACCAAAAAGACAGGCAGTATTCACGCACATGTAAATATGAGCCAAGTGTACTCATGTGTCATGGGCTTAGATAGTGGGTCTTACTGCAGATGTATTTTAGTAGAGTTTGGTAATTCAGAGCACCTACCCACTTTGCTCTCCACCATGAAATTCTGTGAGCACGCGCGCACACACACACACACACACACACACACACACACTCAAACATGCATAGCTATGCAGACATGCACAAACACACACACACACACACACACACTCAAACATGCATAGCTATGCAGGCATGCACAAACACACACACACACATACAACCCCATTCCATCAGTTTCCCAATGGGAAGGCTGGCATAGGTGAGTAGGGCTAAAATGAGCCTGCTGGTGAGGCAGCATGCCAGAGCTGAGTCTGTGGCTGAGCTCAGCTGCACTGACTTCACTCCCTGCCTCTCTAATCCCCTCCAATCCTTTTACTCCCCATTCTCCCGCTCCAGAGCAGTACCTCAGAGGACTGGGCTTTTTTCCTGCACATCAGACCTAATTAGTTTCTTTTCTTATGTAACGTCAAACCTGCCTCTGGGTCCATGTCCCCTATGGACAAGGCAGCCTTTCTCTTTTCTGTCTCCCCTCCATGAGATTGTTAGTTAAGTATCCAGGAAAAATTGGTTTCCTAGCCTGCCTGAAGGGTACCAGGTGCCCTGACCCTACCACTATGTGAATATGGTACTGGAGTGGGCAGTGCAGAGAAAAGGGCAGAGCTTTAGGAAGACAGAGTATCAGAACTGGAAGAGATAAAAACGTGGATATTGGGGACCTGTCCTTGTCTCTCAAAAGAGAGATCTCAGAGAGAGGGCTACAAATCCCAAAAGGCAGCCCCCCCCAACCCTATCTATATTGGACATTTCCGCTATTTTCAATTCCAGTATCATGCCATGGAAATCCCCATAGTAATACTTTCCTCTTCTTCACAAAAAAGTCTCATCCATGCTCCCCATACCCTCTGAGGGAAGGAAGGAAGCGCTTTGAAAAAAATCATGATCCCTAATGATTTAGAACATTTTTTACATGACTATAAATTGTTTTGATTTCCAAGGCCTTAGGAATATAACAACCTCTTCAGAATTCCTAGAGACAGAACAAGCTCTTGTCCTTGCTAACACCAGGGGAGAATGGAAGAAAAGGAAAGGACACCAATTTTCTCTCCAGCCCTGAAATGCTCTCATAGGTTTAAAAAAAAAAAAGTCTTGAGACAATTAAAATATATGGCCCAGGACTCAGCATGTTGCCTGCTGCCTCCCTGGAACTGGGTGGATTAATCTTATTACTGCTGACTACTAGGGACCCAGAACCACTGATTCAGGCAATCCTGAGAGAATGGGGAGGGTTCAGAAGGTGTTGTCAAAGCCACGATTACTTATGAAATAGTCATCACTGTCTAGCCAGCCCTGAAACTTCAGGCATTCTGCAGCACCGCTCAAGATTTAGCCCAGGTACATATATAACACTGGGTAATACAAATATGGATATATACCCTCCATTTCCATCTTTGCCCATTGAATTCCTACCTAAAGCTCTATTCAAATGCCTCTTCTTCCATGAAGTCTTCCAAGGTCTCCCTCTTTCCATGATTTCCCTCACTGAGGTCACTTCTAGATTTGACATTTTGTTTTAACATTTGTTTTTGTAGCTCTCTGATGTGCTTATGTAATCTTGTGAATGATAGTTATCTGTATTTGTGTCTCATCCTCAGCTAAACCAGAAGTTCCATGAGGGAAGGGACCATATCTTAGCAGCTCAACTTTATCTCTCTTCAAAATGTTCTGTGGACATTAAAAGTTCAATAAGCATTAGGGCAACTAGGTGGTGCAGTGGATAGAGAGCCCAGTCTGGAGTTAGGAAGACCCGAGTTCAAATGTGATATCAGACGCTTCCTAGCTGTGTGACTCTGGGCAAGTCACTTAACCCTGTTTGCCTCAGTTTCCTCATCTGTAAAATAAGCTAGAGAAGGAGATGGCAAACCACTTTAGTATCATTGCCAAGAAAACCCCAAATGGGGTCACAAAGAGTTGGATATGACTGAAACAACTGAACAACAACAACAACTAAATAGTTATTACATATAGCATGCAAAACATACAAGTCAAATACCTCAGTATAGTCAATCAGCCTAGCATCAGGCCAGAGGTTCAGGCTTGCCCAACTTTTATCTACAGTGTACAGACGCTATAGATAAAAGAGTGAGTGAAGGAATGTTGGTGCCATCATTAAAAGTTTTCCTTCCCCAAAGATCAACTGATCTGCCTTCCTGACTGTGCTAACACTGGGCAACCAAGCCTAACGAGAAGGAGAGGTACAGACAAGCTTCAGGCAGGATGCCTCTTTTCCCTGCTGTGTACCTCAGGGCACTATACTAAGTAAGCACTGGGGAAGATAGAAAGTTTAACTAAACAAGACTAAAACCTTCCTTAATGGAACTTCCATGGACAAAGGAGACCGAAATGCAGGTAACTATATAACAAAGGACATTACATAAATGCCTTAGTCAAAAGGTTAGGAAGGACATAGATGTAGTTTGTATCTATCAAACATATAATTCCAAGGTCTGTGAGCTTTTGCATTCCTCGTTGCCCCCACCCCCACCGTCTCCATCTCATCAAGCAGCCTTGAGAGCCTGGAAAGGAGTAGGGGCAAAATCCTCTTCTGGGAAGATGGTTCTGAAGTTCAGTGACCCACTTACCACAATCTTTGTTTCATTATCAGGGAATGTATCGATAGCCAGGGTGCCCCCACCCTGGTCTTGGCTCAGTCGTTTCCTGTTTGGTTCAGGTGCCCGGCCGGTGCTCTCTCGAACCCTCCTCCTCCAGCCCAGCATCCTCCTCTCTGCATTCCATGCATCCCATCCTGGACCTCTGCCTGGTCCCTGACCTAGGGGTGAGGAGAAAAAACAGAGTCATATCAGCCCCTCCTTGTCTTCAACTGTGTTTGAACTAGCAGGGAGCAGAGAGGAAATGTATGCTTTTTTTAAAGACACACTAACACCATCCTGCTCCTTTGTAGCAGATATAACTAAAGACGCTAAGCCTAAAAAAACCCAACCTACTTCCGCATCTCTTGGCACAGTGGAAAGAGCCATGAACTGGATACCAAGGGACCTGAACGCTAGGCACTGTCACTAATTAGCCGTGAGAAGAAGCAGATCACTTCTCTCTAGGCATCATTTGGTTCATATAAAATGGTGGCTGGAGTAGCCTGTTATTCCACTAGATTGTCAGGTCCTGGGTTATCTGACACAGAAGGATCCAAGAAGGTAAGAAAAGTCCTTGTGAAGGAGCAGCTGGGTGGTTCGGTTGATAGAGCACCGGTCCTGGAGTCAGGAGGACCTGGGTTCAAATCCGGCCTCAGACCAAACACTTGACACTTACTAGCTGTGTGACCCTGGGCAAGTCACTTAATCCCAATTGCCTAAAAAAAGAAAAGTCTTTGTGACCATCATCATGAGCCACATGTTTCCATGCTCTCTGTGCCCAAAACCTTAAGCAGTTTACAGCTTAGCCTGACGAGGAAGAATCACCGGGAACTTCCAACAGTCAGTAAGAACATACACAATATAGGGCAATATATACACAGGCATATGGAAAAAGCCACCAAGGTTGCACTAGAATTTCTGAAACTATAACTGCTCTGGGATTAAAAAAAAACCAACAAAACTTCACATGGTTTTCTTGCATAGTCTTCTGGCAACATCATCAACTCTGCAATCACAGTATAAGGGCCAGTTTAGGATCTGGGTATCCCTGCTTTTTCACCCATTAGCTACAGGAGATGTTACAGTGGCGGGGGTGGGGGGGGGGAAGAGACTAGGGCTCACATCAGGGCTTTTGGCAGGAGCTGTTGCCATCTTGTTCCCAGACAGTGCTAACACAGCTGCTCATTAAGGTTTCCACTATGAACTCATGACGACAGTCTCAAGGATAGCCGTGTCCTTCCCAGCACTTTTCAAACTTTTCCCTACCCTCTTGGATATTTCTGTGTCAGATAACTCAGAACCCTGACAATCTAGTGAGATGACAGGCTGGCCACTCGTCATCTTTATTTTATATGGGGCAAAGTAATGCTTAGAGAGAATCCTCTTCTTCTTTCTTCTTTCTTCTTTCTTCTTCTTCTTCTTCTTCTTCTTCTTCCTCCTTCTTCTTCCTAATTAGTGGCAGTTTTGACATCCTCTGTTCTATGCTTTAAGGTCCTTTCCAGGACCAACAGTTATTCTGGGTGTGGCAGAGCATGCCTATGAGAGAGACTGAGGCTGGTGGATTGGGAGTTCAGAGCTAAAATGGCTAAAGCCCATTGATGTACCAATCATAAAGCCCCATAAAGTGGGAGGCCACCACACTGTCTGAAGAGGGTTGAAATAACTCAGGTTGGAAATTTTGTTGTTCAATCATATTCAACTCTTCATGATGCCATTTGGGGTTTTCTTGGCAAAGACACTGGAGAGGTTTGCCATTTCCTTCTCCAGCTCATTTTACAGATGAGGAAACTGAGGCAAATAGGGTTAAGCGACTTGCCCAAGGTCACCCAGCTAGTAAGTGTCTGAGGCCAGATTTAAACTCAGGGAGATATACCCCCTACCCCAGGCCCAGCACTCAATCCACTGAGCCACCTAGCTGCCTGAAACAAAGGTTGGAAATGGAGCCAGTCAAAGCTTCCTCAACTATTATCAGTAGTGGGATTGGGCCTATAAATTGCTGCTGCCCTTCTAGACAGGAAGAGATGGGGAGAACTCGTCTCAACAATAAACAAATGAATAAATTCTAATTAAAAGAAGATTTCCATGCTACTTCCTTTCATGGCACATCTCAGCACCATAGATGTGTTTTGAATGACTCTTTGCTGGGTCTGTCTATTGCTGATAAACTTAAGGACCAGGCAGGTGGATCAGAACCCTGATAACAAGTGCTTAGGTGCCTCTTATTAGTCTAAGAACCTTGGCCTTGAAATTGAAGAATCCTGGGCTTCATAGGGAGCCCTATGTGGCCACAATATTTCTTTTCTTATTTCCCTCAGTAGGTGAGGAAGAACAGAGCCTGGGGACTGGACTAGGTAATGTGTCATCTCTTAGGAAATGATGAGGAGGGGAATCCAGGAACCAGGAATAAGGACAGGGATGGTGGGGTGGAGATAGTGCTCCCCATCGTGGGGAACGTGGTTCATCATTAGACATTTTATTCAATTAAGTCATTCTTGGCCGCTGGTGGCTGCTGGGCCCCTGCCTGCTGGTTCTCACTTCTCTGCTTATAATCGGAACCAGATGCTCGCCGGGAAAAGACAAGACCACTCTGGGGGAAGGGGAGAGAAAAGACAGAAGAAGGGAGAGAGAAAGTCTGGGATCCCTCTCCCCTAAGATGCTCAGGGGCCACCCATGGATGAGCTAGGGACCAACCCTGGAAAGAGTGATGCTTTGTCCTTTCCCAATTTCCCAAAGACCCTCTTCAAAGGTGCTCACAGGCATTAGAGGGGACTCTGGCTCTGTGCCTTCCCTCTGGGCTGGGGTTGAGCCACGGAACTGCCTCCTAAGCTCGGGGTCAGCCCTGCCCCTTTGCTCCTCCCAACCAGGACTGTTTGTGCTAAGGAGCTGGCTGGGTTCCCTCGCTTAGTAATGGGATTTTAGCTCTGAAACCCGGGTGTTAGCCAGAGTAGAAGGGGAGCATGTGCAGAGAGCACCAGGGGAAGGACTATCACCCAGGCTAGAGGAGCAGGATAGGGAGAGGGCTCTGAAGCTGCCCTTCAGACAAACCCAAATAGTGGAGCCCAGACAGGGCTGTGCTGAGGACACGGCCAGTATGGGCAGAGAGATCAGCTAAGAGCGGAAGGGACAGAGGATGAGGGAGATATTAAGAGCTGAATGAAAGGAACAAATGTTCACACTTGGCAAAAAGCTTTCTTTACAAAAACAAAACAAAACAAAACCTTGTGAGGTAGGTCAATTTATCCCCATTTTACAGATGAGAAACTTTTAGCTCCAAGAGGGTTAAAGGACTTACCCAAGATAACACAGCTAATAAAAGACCAAAACAGGATTTAACTCTTGGCCTTAAAATTATACTGGGATTAGGAGAAACCTTAGAAATCATAGACAGTAAATTCAGAAAGAGAACAAGCAAAGCAGTATTGGATTCTCCCATGTTACATTTAATATATGCTTTTTTTTAAACCCACAACTGCTTGTATCAGACATCGATAGTTTCATATATAATCCTCTTTTATGTTCTTTTCTTGCATATTGAAACATTCACTTTTGTTGATGCTTATGCAACAGGGAACTGACCCATGGGGGCTCAGTTCTGGGAGCATATGGATGTTTGGAGAGCCTGATTAGGCTCCCTGGCTGAGCCCTCATTGGCCAGTGCCCCATCATATGTGTTAAGTATGTAACAAAATTTTTTAAAAGAAATTATCTAGGTCAACTCTCTTTTTACAGATAAGGAAACTGAGGTCTAGAAACATGAAATGACCTTGCCCAAAATCTCACTCAAGTGAGTAGGCCAAAACTCAATCCTCAGTGCCAGAGGACATCTGTAGGAACATATGCCTGGCATGTGTACATAGACCCACCCAGGCTTTTCAGACTATTAACACATGGACACAACCCATAGTCTTTCTGCTCTCCCCAACATGCCACTCCCCATAAATCATTCCTCCTGATTCCTAGCCTTATCTCTCTCTTATTCTTATCCCTTATACTATCACCCCAATGTGGGTGCAGTGGAAGGGGCTGAGACTCAGTGGTGGGAAGCAGCAAACACAATGTCTTTCATCACCAGCCACAAGCATGTTTCCCCTGGACTGAGATTCCTGAGCTAGACCTGCCCCAAGACACAGTTGGGCCTATTTGCAGGGGAGGGGGATGCCTTGTTTGTCCTTCTCCAAGGATTAACAGAGGCTTTAGAGAGGAGCCACCATGTCCAGGGGCCTGGCATCCTAGAAGTATGTCCAACTGGCTCTGGGGAATGATGTCCTTACCGTGATGACAGTACCACCCCAGCAGTCCTCTGCCCCCCGGATACAATAGAAATCTGGCAGTAGGCTCATACCCTGTCATCAAAAGCCTAAAACCTGTCAACAGCCCTTTTCCACGTCCTCAGCACAATTCTCCACTCAGCTCTGCCTTTGCATATAGTCCCAGCTAGACCCAGAATAGATAGAAGCTGAAGAAGGCTCTGCCTTCCACGTTTACCTTGTGGTCCAAGTTCTCTGAATGATGAATTAGTAAACCTAGGTTCTAGGGCTACCTCTGCCACTAACTTGGGTAAGTCACTCACTCTCTGTGCCTCAGTTTCCCCCTTTATAAAACAAGGGGATTGGACGAGGTGGCCCTAAAGCTTCCTTGAAGATCTAGCTGCAGTGATCTTTCCAGCCCTGACATTCTTCCCATCTCTCCTCCTGTGCCCAGGGCAAAGGTCAGCCTTGACCGTGGGGCTCTTTACTTCCTGACTTCTAATTTGGTTAACACCGGGATGGGGCTGTTCCCCACTCCTGCAAGACCTCCTTCTTGGGTGAGTTCTCATCACTATTATTTGTTTTCATTCCCATCCATGGACTAGACCACGTGAGCCTTTCTGTCCTCTTTCCTTTAACTCTTCTGCTCCTTGCCCAGGGCGAGGAAAGCTATGGAGGGTGAGAAGGTATCTGGTTTGGAGAACAGGAGACAAGTCTAGGATGGTGTCCAAGAGCTAAGAGATGAAAGCCCTGGGCAGGAGAGCACTGGCTCTTCCTCCTTCCCCCACAGAGGGCTTTTAGAATATCCCTATTTCTTTAGGTGACTGGACCAGACCAAGACCGGGAATACACGAATTTTTGATACTTGGTATTCATATCTGACTCCAAATTCCCTTATTCCTAACACTGAGTTCCATCCCAGACTCTAAGCA